GCAAATGTACAATAATCCAGGCAGCTCAGCACTCTCTCTATACTAGACTACAGTTATTAGATTTCTATTTTTGGAATCTGGAATCTCTTGAATTCTTTTGAAATCTGGAAGTCTAGAGGATTCATGGCATACATATTTTTCCAACCCATCTGGATGATGACAGATTCAGGATGGTGGCTTTTAAGCATTTCTTCACGCATGCAGAAATAAAATCAGGCTGTAACCATCTTCCAGCAAGATGAATTGTGTTTGGAGCTAGAGTTGTTTCATCTTAAACAGCAAACCAAGTTATATCAGAGAGTCACATCACCAAATATCAGGCACATATGAGCTAAGTGTAATAAAAAAGATCAAATGTAGATATTAAAAGATTACAATGCATTCAACTAATGTACATGGTCAGTTTTGCTATAAAAATGCATTTGCTTACCATTCTCAGCTTTTCACTCAGCAAATAACCCAGAAGAGACACGGTATTACTAATGTATTGCTCAACACGGTGAGCAATAAATTCAAACCTGTACTGTATATGCTTACTCAGAAAAAAATTGCATTATGGTCAAGCCTGAGGTTGGCTTTCACAGAAGTTCATGCATATAATTTTGACAAATCCATTTAAAACATCTCAGAGACAAAGCACCCGATGGTAAAATAGCTTTAATCCCAATCACGACCAAACCCTTATCTCAAACATTCCGTTCTGTGCCCAAGGGCAGCAATTCTTTGCCTTATTTCCAGGTGCTTCTGAGCTGCCATTTCCGAAATCTCACCTCGCTAACTCATCTGAAACACACTTGGGTGCCTCTCCTTGGAAGAAACTTTGCCGGACTCGGTGAGCCCCGCCGCCCCACATGAGTTGTGGGAGCACCATAGATTTCCATGCACATCTCTAAAATAATGATGATGATGATAGCTGTTGCCAAATTGGACTCCAGAATCTGTTTTCTAACGAGCCGGGGAAGAACCCATTAATATTTAAACTATTCACTCCATGCATATAATCCCACCCTTTCGCAATCACAGAAAACCCTCCGTTATTTCGGAACAAAAACGACTCATCTGACAAAACACACACACACACTCACAAACAAAACATGCGCTCTCCGATTGAGCGAACGAGGAAACGCGCACGCGCTTAAAAAAAAAAAAAAAAAAGACTGCCCAACCTGTCATGCAGCGAGCGCTCGCGCTCTCTCTCTAGCGCGTGCGCAGCCTCTCCGCCGCCTACCAATTCCGTTCAAGATTCTTCGGCCACGAGCTTTTTTTTTTTCTTCTCCCCTCCTCCTCCTCCTCCTCCTCCTCTTTGTTCCCCCGCCCCTTTCCAAGTCTCCACCGCCTCCGCCGCCAGTCTTCTAAGCGCGGGTTGATTCTGTTCCCCGGAAGAGAGGGGGGGGAGGGGGAAACGAAGGGCGGGGCGAAGAAAACCGGAAAGGCAGTTTCGCTTCCGGCTGCGTCGGGGGCTTCCCGCCTCTTCGAATCCGGTTGGAAAGAAAGAAAAGAAAGGACCGCAGGCGGCGTTTCCGAGAGGGGAGAAAGAGCCAGCGGGGAGGGGGGGGTAAAGGGGGGAAAAGGGGGGGGAAGGGAAGCGGTCGATTGTGCCCTTTTCCGTCATGGTCGTCGGTTTAGCTTCCGGCGTGAGGGTGGGGGTCTGGAAGTGTCCCTATGGCAACAGCGCGCCTTTCCACTAATCTCCCAGGCCCGACGCGCCTCCCTCGAGAGCCCCTTTCTGTGCGCTCGCGCTCTGCTTTCCTCCCGTCCCGCTTTGAAGGTCTGAAAGGGACTGAAAGGGACAAGAACGGTCGAGCGATCGGCGAGCGCGGGAGTTTCCTCAGTGCTAACCTCTCCTGCCCTGGGAGGCAGGCCTGGCGGAGCTTGACGGTTGGTCGTGTTTCCTTGCAAATGCTTCATATTTCGTGTGTGTGGTGTATTTTTGATTCCGAAGGTAGGTAACCTGCGTGTTTTGGAACTAAGCTCCCGCGAACTCGTATCGTTGCCTGAGGGCTGAGGGAAGTTATCACCAAAAAACACATAGAAAACATGAGGTTTTGCACGCCCGGGGCATGGCATATCCAGATATAGCTCTTAACAGCGATGGCTGAGGAAGGATGGATGTGAATAGCCCAAAACAAATGTTAGCCTCTCGCGCTATCCCCTAGTGCCAGCGCTCAGACTATGAGGCTTTTGTTACTAAATAAGCCTGAATACTGTTTAGTATTTAGCGTATACTACGGTATATACTGTATTTAGGTAGTATAGTATATTATCTTTAGTATACATATGCAACAGAATTTCATTTTAATGTATGCCGATTAGCATACAATTTTGAAATTAGCAGAATTAAAATTTTTTTAAAAAATAACGTGAAAATGGTAACGTTTGACATAAGAGTTGTATGGGATTGTAGAGTTTTAGGCCTGTTTTACCTTTGTTTGCCTTTGTGAAAATAGAATGGGGGAATCTGAATGTGGGAGGAAAATAACACACCCAGTTGTGACTCCTACAGTTTTGCCTTCAGTACTTCGCAAATTTATCATCATGAATTGCACTCTAATTTAAAAGGATATTCATATCCTGAATAACTAGTTCCACTCTTAATTTTTAGTTACATCAAGAAACACATGAAGAGTATGAGTTAGATACACATCTTTTTTAAAGTCAACATCAGTATAAACAGATTGTGTTTTGAAGTAAATTGTATAAAAATGTTTTGACATTGATTTATTTAGACTGACATGCTTAAGAGTTGGAAAAAATATGGGCAGACTGGGATGCTTGGCTTAAGTTTTTTAGAAAGGAGAGGAAACTGCCTAAAACTTGTTTGTAGCCAATAATAAACAGAGATTCTGAAAACATCTGCCCAAGACTTGCAACTTATTGATATATAAAATGACTTTAAGAGATTTTTTTTTTTGAGAAAAAATTTAAAAATTTTTTTTAAACTCTGTTGGTTAAGTTACAAATCTTTCATAGCTTTTTTCCTAGCACACTATAAGAGGGAATGTAGAACTTCGGTAAACGGATGAAAGATGTACATTTTTTTATAATAGTAGTTTTTGTTATTGATATGGCTGATTGATATATTTTAATATGATTACATAAGAGAATATCAACCGCTGCCCCCAATCTGATATGCTCCAAATGTTTTTGGTAGTCTGAAATAGCCCTTATCATTACCAAATTTGATTCCAGCTTTCAGAGGACAGAAATATCGTTTTTAGTGTCATCCCAAGTGGAGTAAGAGAAATGCAAAATGGCAAATCAGCAACCACTTTCAAATCCTACTGACTATATAGGAAATATTGTGGCATGAGAATCACATTTTTTTTTCTTTCTACTAGGACTTTTTAAAAATGTGACATCTGGTTCATCTGTTTAATATTAAACATTTGCTTTATCTTCTGCTCTTTTCTCAGATTCTTGAAGATTTGCTTGAGTCAGTTATGTAAGGAGCATAATAATGGGTGAGTATATGCTAAACTAATCCATTTAATTAATTGTTGATTTTAAGTTACTGTTTTAGAATCTACCATGTCAAGAAACTTCTCATTAAAGCAATGGACATTCATTTTTAGTTACGATCAGGTTTATTATTTTACATTTAAGAATTAATGCATTTCTGAACAATTTCTATAAGTAATGGTTTCCCTAATGCTGCAAAGTATTTGATATCCAGGAGAGCAAATACATTACTTTTATTCACCCCAAAAGACACACTTGTTTCTCATTTGTGGTTTCTTTAATGATCATGAATGGATATGCCTCAATTAGTAATTGTGGTAGATTTGTGAGAACTACCACCCAACTATTCATCTCTTGATAAACTCATTAGTGGAATTTAGTTTTAGTGCACAGGTTCTGTATATATTGCTGGATCTACTTAAAATAATCAGATTGTGAGGGGAGAACACATCCCCTGCTTTTACCATCTGTTAGGTTCACATATCTGTTAGGTTATAATGCGATTTGCTGGGGGGCAGGCAAGGGCTTGTTTTATGTGAACATAGCCATTATGCTGTGTAAACTGCAGTTCAGTTCAATGTTATGAGCTAAACCAGTCCATTTGGTTCATTTAGCATTTGATTAAGTACATCATGCCTTAATGGGGTGTGAACTAGTTATATTCAAAGGATCCTTATCTACTCTCATATTTACCTTTCTAAAATAATATTTTAAAATATAGCCCCTTTTTAGAAGCAGCAAGTACTCACTGAAAGCTTTTTAGAAGCTTTTTAGAAGTTGATGACATTAGTGTTGCTTGATTGGTGTTTTCTTCCACGTATATGTATAGTTTTCTACTTTGTTTTGTCTTCTGTTTATTTTTTTTCATAACTCCAAAATTGCAGACATTTAATCTTTGGCTCTCGTTATTATAATTGCCTTTCACTGCATTAAAATTGTGGAGAAATACTAACACACTGCCTGTATTTTGGTGTGCTTTTTTGTCTTTTTTCTATTGAAGTCTCACATGTATTCTTTAGTACTTTCTCTTTTTCTATATAGAATCTGTAACAGCAAGAAAACAAATTGCTATTTTTCTTCCTCAAATAATACACTTTTTTTAAAATTAAAGATGAAACTACTGACTGCATGAAGATGGATGCTGGGGACTATATGCAAACTAATCATACTTCTGTGTTCAAGACTTTTCCTGAGCAACAGAATGTTATTTCCGGCAACCAGCATCCACTGTCTGACAACAAGGTTTGGGAATTCGCTACTTCTGCTTTCTTATCTGTATAATGATTTTTATAAATCATTATATGTCTGATCAGAAATTAATTTTGAAATTACATTTAATAAAGAAGCTAAAACTTATCTGTGTCACTTTGGCTATTTAGATCAAGATTTATAAGATTTTAATCCTCTGCTTCTAGATATTCAAGCCTCTGTGATTAGTAAAAATGCTGAAAATTTTATTACAGAATATTTGGTACATATGGTCCTTGGCTTAACACCAATTGAGACTGGGATTTTCATCACTAAGTGTTATGGTCATTGGGTGAAACACTGTGTAACAGCACCATTTAGCATCACCAATTGCAGAGGTATTGCAACAGTTACAACTTAGAAGATGGTCATAAATACCATCTTTCAGCCCCATTGTAACTGAACAGTGGTTGAATAAATGGTCAAGGAGTACCTGTACTTATTAATTTGATCATTTTTTTGCCTTACAATCATGAACATATTTTGTTTATCAATTTCTTTTGTTTCCACCTAATAGCTTTCTCTGATTGACTTTTGCTTTTCCCACTTTGTTAATAATTATTTAGTACTGAAGTTCTAGATATTAATAGCCATGTCTAGATTGTTTTGTACTATTTTTGTATATTTTGTAATAAATTTTCATTATATTTTGTAACTGCAGAATTTTAGAGGGATTAGGAGTTGCAATTATTTTTTTAATTATGTAATTGTAACTAATGAACTTACTGAAAACATTTTAAATACAGTTCTTTTTTGACATTTTCTTTATTTTTTGTTTGTCTGTTTAGTTTTTATCAAACAAGTTTAACAGCTTGGCGGGACCTTCCACTTGTTTAACGGGAAATACTTCTTGTAGTTTCAATTACTATCCAGGTAAGTCTGGCTGCACTGGCTTTGAAACAGATGAAGATCCATTAGAAGATTCTAACATTTAGGTAGGAAATCACTTGCGTTAGATTCAATTTTACTACTGTACAATTTTTAATTGAATCTAAAGCTCCCACAGCTAATATAATTTGAAATGTTCTTCATAGTTTATGGAGGCAACTTTGCTGGTTGGATTACTTGGTAATTAGAAATATCAGTTGTTAACAGGAATGGGCGTTGGTAAATTTACCTGAGAACGCCCTTTCTATAGGTGCTGCTCGAGAGCCCAGGATGGGTTAGACTCCTCCTGATGACATCATCAAGCTGGGTCTGTCTTGTATAAAAAGGACTGCCTGTGGGAGTTTCCTCCCAGCTTTGGCGAAGGTACTTGACAGACTGTAGGAAGTGTCTCTGAAAGCCAAACAGAATCTTTAACATTAACACATCTTACCATGGTCCGGACAAAATAAGGGAGGGGCTGGGCTCTCTAGCAGCATCTATAGAAAGGGCATTCTCAGGTAAATTTACCAACGTCCATTCTCCTAAATGCTGCTGTGAGAGCCCAGGATGGGACATACCAAAGCCCACATGTCCACGGGAGGTCCTTGTCCGGCAAGTCTCTCTGAAGTTGGAACCACTCACTGAAGCAACCGTCTGCCAAAAGCCGCACTCCTCAAGGCATAGGAGTCCAGACGGTAATGTCTGATGAACAGAGACGGGGAGGTCCACGTAGCCGCTCTGCAAATCTCCACTAGAGGTGTCTGGGTGGCCCAGGCAGCTGAAGTCGAGGCACTCCTAGCAGAGTGTGCCGTTAAGCCCTGGGGTACTGGAAGGGCTCTGGTTAGAAGGCCTGTGATGCATGCCGTGATCCACCTACTCAAGGTGGGAGCAGAGGCTTTGTTGCCCCCAATGGGAAGGGGAAAGGACACAAACATGGCCTCAGTTTTGCTAAATGTAGAGGGACGTCTGATGGAAATTCTAAGCGCTCTGCTAACATCTAGGGAGTGCCACTTGCGCTCTAAGTCGTGGAGCGGAAGGGGACAGAAATCAGGTAACACTATGTGTTGGGATCTGAGGAACCCAGTATTAATCTTAGGTACAAAAGGTAGGGTCTAGATGTCTTTCCTGACAGACAAGGCTGCCAGGACTGAAATCCTTCTAGAAGGAGTGATCGCTACCAGAAATGCCACCTTACAAGACAAAAAACTGCAAGGGAATTGACCTCAGTGGTTCAACGACTGCAGTACTTTAAAGAAGTCCCATGTGGAATCTCGATGACCACTGGAGGCCTCAGGTTTGTAGCACCCTTCAGAAACCTGTGGACCGTGGGATATCTAGACAAAGATTCCACTCCCCCCAAGGATAGAACAGAGGGCAAGGCTGCAACCTGCCTCCGCAGAGTGTTAGGTGAAAGTCCCTTGTCTCGGCTCTCTTGGAGGAAGTCCAGCATCTGGCAATTAAGGCCCCGGAAGGGGCAATGTCATACTTACGACACCAGTCACTGAAAGCCTTCCAGATTGCATCGTAGATGCAGTTGGTGGAGGCTCCCCAGGAGGCTTGGATAGTTCTTATTACTCTGGAGAAATGATAGTTCCGGATCAGGGATCCCCACTCAATCTCCAGATGGCCAACTGAAGCCACTAGGGCTCTGAAAGCAATATTGGCCGCTGTCTGAGTGACACTCTTATCTACCAGAATCCTCCAAGGACTGGAGATGGAACGGTTTACTAAGTCTGCGAACCATGGCCTCCTGGGCCAGTGAGGGCTACGAGTATAAGTTCTGCTCTTCTGCCCACAGTTTCTGGAAGACCCCCGGAATCAGGGGCAGAGGAGGAAAAGCATGCAGGAGTTCCCATGGCCAAGGGCTGCGTAAAGCGTTCATTCCCTCCACCCCTGGAACCACACACCTGGAGTAGAACCTCGGGAGTTGCGTGTTGTCCTGGGAAGCGAGGAGATCCACTGCTGGCAATCCGAAGTGCTCTGACAGCTCCTGAAATAAATCAGAGTGCAAACGCCACTCTGCCTGGTCAGTGGTGGCTCTGCTAAGCCAGTCAGTCTCAACATTGGCCCCGCCTGCAATGAGCTCAGCTCTGAGCGATACCTGGTGTATCTCTGCCCATAAGCAGAGTTGATCTGCCTCTAACATCAGGGGTCCTGAATTTGTCTCGCCTTGGCGGTTAAAATGTGCCTTGGTTGACACCTTGTCAAGCAAGATCAGGATGTCCCTGTCTGACACAGCATCCTCTAATTGTGTCAGGGCCAAATGGACCGCTCGAAGCTCTAGCCAATTAATATTATAGGCCAAATTTGCCAGGGACCATGGTCCCTGGACCACCCTGGATTGAAGGTGGGCTCCCCAGCCATACAGACTGGTATCCATGGTCAGCACTAACCTGTCGGGTTCCTTGAATAAGAGTCCCATGGAAAATGCCTCAGATGACCCCCATCAAAAAGATTTAAGGACCAACGGAGTTAATCTGACCTGAAAGAGGAACCTGTCTTCTGATAAGGTAGAAGAAACTATTGGAGCGACCTGGCATGGAATCTAACCCAGGGCACTATATTAATGCATGATATCATTTTCCCCAGGAGCTTGGAAAGCGTAGCCAGGGGCACTCTAGGGTTAGATTTTATATGGCCAATTAACTGATACTCTCCTGATGTTCCTGGGACAAGGACACCTTGCAGGAAAAAGTATCTAATACAGCTCCCAGATAAAGTAAGGAATTGGTGGGAGTAAAGTGGCTTTTTTGGCCTCTTTGACAGAGAAGCCACGCTCTTGGAGAGCTTGAATGGTGATATCCAAATCTTCTGCTGCCCTAGATGGGGAAGATGACTGGACCAGTATATCATCCAGGTAACACTGGACTCTTACTGGGATTGCCCTAATAAGGGCTGGCAAGGTTGCCACCAGCTAGGTAAATGATCTGGGGGGGCTGAAGAAAGGCCAAGGGGCAAGGTCCTGTATTGGTAGTGTCCCCCCTTATAACAGAACCTGAGGAGCTGCCGATGGGTCATAAGTTCAATGGAAGAGAGGAGATAGCCCTCCCGAACACTCTCTAGAATAGAATGCAGCATCTGCATTTTAAGGCCTGAATGGGATAAACGCATTCAGAAATGTTAGGTTGAGAATAGCTCGCCACCCCACCCCACCAGGCCTTGGGGACAACAAAAAGCCAAGAATAAAACCCACATCCCCGTTGGAGTTCGGGGACTGGTTGAATGGTCGTTATGTCAACTAGGTGTTGAATGGCCGATTCCATAAGGGCCCTTTTTTGAATTGTTCCGCGAGATAGGGCAGAGCAGGAAATTTCCTGGGGGTGATGATAGAATTCTAGTTGTAACCCTGACCTTAGTCCAGACCAGGAGTCCATCGTTGACTCCTCCCCTTTTGGATGAGAAGGCGGCCAAATGACCTCTGAATGGGAACAACGAGGGATTATTTAGAGCGATGGAATGAACGACCCCTTCCCCCACAAAAGGGCCGTTTACCCGCAGTTGTCTGCCCCGTGTGTCAGGGCGTTGCTCTTGGCGCTGGGAATACGCTCTCTGCGGCCTGGAGAAGCAAGAAGTAATTTTGGGCCTAAATGGAGGAGGCAGGTAAGGGGCAGGATGGAAGTCTGCCCTCCAGCCTGGCGAGGAAGGAACTTTTCCTTTGACCCTCGTTTTGACGATGAATGGATCGAGAGCATCATCGAACAGCTTTTCACTGGTGCTGGGGCCCGAAGCCAGCTTCCACCTGCGCCGAGGCTTTGCTGCCAAATTCGTAACCATAGCAGTTTCCTCCCTGCTACAGACGAAGCCATGGCCCTGCAGGAGAACTGGCGGAACTTAGGGTGGCGTCCCCATTAATTCCGCTGCTGCTATAATCTTGTTGAGATCTTGATGCGATCTCAAGTCTGATGGAGATACGTGGTCTTGTAGCTGGTGCAGCCAGCGGATAGAGGACCTGTGAAAAACAATGCAGCAGTCGAGGCCTGGAGAGCCGAAGCAGAGGCCTGATGGTTACATTTTAATGTCTGCTCGGCACATTTGTCCCCTGCCGAAAGTACATCCTCGGGCTCAGTTGGAGCGTCTACAGAGGGAACTGTAAGAGCGGCAGCGAGAGAAGGGCCCACATTGCTGGGGCCCCGCCTGTCATATGAAGATGGGTAGGGGCCTGCGGCAGGAGAGGCGAATTAATTCTGATCAGATCCAGAAAAACTGGGTGATGGAAGGACCTTCGAGTGGACTATGTTTTTGGAGAAGAGGGAATCCCTGGACCCCGACTGTACCACCTGAGGTTCCTGGGCAGCCTCCTCTGGGGACACTGGGCAGTAACCAGTGCCTTGTGGAGGAGAAGCTTGAATAAAGCCGGTTTATGGCTGATGGGGGTTGATCGGGTAACAGATCTTCCTCTTCCTCAGAGAGGTTGGGGTCCCAGATTTCTCCCTCCCGTTCAGAAGTAGGAGAGTGGCTACGTTCCGATGGTTATGTATAGACTCCCTGCTCTAGTGCCCCCCCCCATTCTGATTGAGCAGAAGGGGCCTTGGGCTCCTGTGGGTGAAGCAGTCCCCTCTGGGGGATCTGGCTTGTAGTAGGCCAGCAAAGGGGGGCTGGGCCCTGTTTGAGGATCGAAAAATTCATAGCAGCCCTTCTGCTAGGCTCTGTCTGATGGCAATGGAGACTACATCTTGGATGTAGTTGAGTCTGCCACCAAATGATGGATCTGAGGGGTGAAGGCCTGCAGCGGGGGAGAAGGAAGCCTCGAGTTTAGGTCGAGAACACCTTGGGCCATGGAAGTCCAAGCTGAAGAGAGGTCCCAAGAGGCCTGTTTAAAAATTGGGGCCTGATCTGCTTAACAACTAGAGGATTGGCTGGTTGGGAAGCCTTTTGTAGTTGACCCCTCATTTGCTCAATAGTTTTGCTGAACTGCCTTTCTAAGGCTGCATGCCTTTATTTCTCTGCCTTTAATTCAGCCTGCGATGTTTTCTTAGGGTCCAAAACTTTGGCCCTAATCTTGGCCGCCACCTCCCTTTGAACAGACTGGGAGCGTTGTCTCCTTTCTTTTGCCAGCTTGGGGGCTTGAGAGATCAGGCCTGAAGGCTCTGTATGGGCCTTTTCTTGATCCATAATATGCATAAACAGACACAAAGGTGCTGGAAGCGATCCTCACTATGTGTTGTCTATGCAGTAGCCTGAATAGGAGCTTATGAATAGTAGAAGCTGGCCTTTGGGGGATGATGCCACCTAAAACGGTCGCTTGCTACTTTCTTTAGAAGAAGAAGCTTTCAAAAGAAGCTTTCACCACATGCAGTTGAAGAAGAAGCCTCCAAATTGGCTGCTTGCAAGAGCTACAGGCGGGGGTTAAATCTTAGGCTGTAAACAGCCCCACGAAATGAAAATTTACGATCAGCTGAGAGGCGCTGTTATCTCCCGATGCAACCATCATGGAGGCCGAAATCGCTGAGGGAAGACTGGGGGAGGATCAAGAGTTACTCCCTATTTACAGTCTCCCTCGGTTGAAGAAAACATTGAATCCTTGTTGCAGGAGAGTGAATGCCAGTGATGAAAATAGCTTTCATTTTTGCCAGCTAAACTGCTTTCAGAGACACCAGCTTATGGTCATCGAAAGAAACTGAGTCAAAGCTGGGGGAAAACTCCCACAGGCAGTCCTTTTTATACAAGACAGACCCAGCTTGATGATGTCATCAGGAGTCTAACCCATCCTGGGCTCTCGAGCAGCATTTAGGAGAATTTCCATTAACTGTATCCCTGGGACCTATTCTTGTTTTCAGAATCAGGCTTCAAATTAGAAGTGTGTTCTTTTTTTAAAAAAAAAATTGTTTTCAAAATACATATAAAATTTACATTTTAGCAGTTTTGTGTCAAGTGTTAGTTATATACGTTCTTAAATACAATATTTACAATTCTTCTCTATATCAAACCTTATTTCTTTTATCTAACTATATATATAACATTTCCCAAACCTCATAGAACTCAGACTCTTCTTTACCTTTTAGTTTTCTTGTCAGTCTGTCCATCTCAGCACAATCAAATATTTTATTTATTATCATATTTTCTGAAGGTACATCATCTATTTTCCAGCTTTGGGCATAAGCAATTCTTGCCACTGTTAATATATGTTGAACGATGTATTGGATGTTTCTTTGGGTTTCCTTTAATCATCTCCAGCAAAAAAACTTCTGGCTTAAATTCAAAATCGTACCCTGTAATTTCTCTTATCCTTTTTTTTTTCATTTCCCCCCAGTATTTTTTATCTTTGGGGCATTGCCACCACATATGATAGTATGTTCCATCTGTGAGCTTACATTTCCAGCATTGCAGTTTCATATTAGGGTATATTTTGGTCAATCTCGCCGGTGTCAAATGCCGTCTATAAAACATCTTGATTAAATTTTCTTTATATGCTGTTGATAAAATTATCTCCCAATCTTCTAGCTGTATGCTATGACCTACATTTTGTGCCCAGGCAATCATTAGGCCCTTAACTACTTCTTCCTCCATTTCTACTTGGAGTAAAAAGTTATAAGTTCTAGTGATAAATTTTTCTTCTTTACCAATTAAAATTTGGTCTAATTTTGGGGGTTCCCTTTCTATTCCAAATTCCTCCGTATCTTTTTTATGTCTAATTTTTATCTGCATGTATGGCCACCAATCCACAATTATATCTTGTTCTTTTAATTTTTCTGTTTTTAAACTCCCCTGATTATCCAATAATTCCTTGCATGTAATCTTTTTGTTCTCTGTTGTATTGGGGTAAATCATTGCTTCTGTTGGTGACACCCAGTCCGGTAATTTGATGTAGTGTTTCTTCCTTAATTTTTCCCACATTGTTATTAATGAATCTCTAATTTGATGCTGGTAAAAATACGAATGGGTCCTTTCCCGTTTGTCCCACAAAAAGGCATACCATCCTCTATGGAGATCATGTCCCTCGAATACTAATATCCTCTTATTATTTAAATTTATCCAACCTTTCATCCAGAGCAGTGCCACCGCCTGATAATATAGTTCCCATTTTGGGAGTCCTAGGCCAGAAGTATGTTCTATAGCATGGATGTCAAACTTGATCGGAGTGGCCTGCATGTGATACAACTGGCCTACGGGACACCAGTTTGACACCCCTGTTCTATAGTTTGACGTGAACTCAAGTTCTTTAAGAAAGGCATTGCTAATTTCGCAAGCATAGACTTACACTTGTAAAACATATATATTTTTATTGAATATTCTGATGTGTTCATTTGCATGCTCTTTGCATATTGAACTTTTTTTTGGTTGCATCTTTACAATGTTGAATATCTGTTTCTGAAAAAGTAGTTAGAACTAAGTAAAATTTTAGTACAGCTCAAAGTTTGGTAGGAACTGATTATGGACAGCCAAGTGACTATCCTCACTCCACTGTGACTTACTTTAAAAGTATTTTTGTAAACTGGGATTGAATTTACAAATAAAAAACTCAGTTAATTGTTAGCACAAAGCAGTTTGTTTAAACATAAAGCCAGTTGACTTTTCCCCTCAAAATATATTTTGGAAAATCTATTTAAAATCTTTGTAATTTCTTCTATATATTGGGGAACATAGAAAACATATTTTTTATGCAGTAAGTTATATAAGAGATTATGGGTATCTCACTGATCTTTCCTTCCTTCCTTCTCTGGCAGAATCCCCAAGCTTTGAGAGCTGCCCAGCAACTGGAGTAAAAAGAACATTTAGAATAAATGCCAATGGTCAGTTGAAGACTTGCAACTCCCCTTTTGGCTCTGTTTCACAGAAGGCCAGAGTATATTTTGAAACACGCAAAAATCCAAGGTACATAACATTGTCTCAATTTTTTTGTCATTAACACCTTAATTCTATTTGTTGCAGGTTTTGTATAATATGAAACATTCTGAAATGTAACAAAACTTAGATGTGATTGCTTAGGTTATAAATGCTGGCAGTCCTCACCCATGGTAACTGAGACCAGGAACTCTGTTGCTAAGCGATACAATCATAAGGTGTGATGTCATATTACCACACCAACTTACAATAACAGTTTCAGCATTCACAGTTACCATCTTTAGCTGAATTTTATGCAATTGCATCATCCTGTAGTCATATGATAGCCATTTGTAACCTCCTGTCAGCTTCCCCATTGACCTTGTTCGAAGCCAGCAATGAAGATTGTTGCTGGACACTGCATGTAATTGCAAGCCAGTTGCCAAGTGCCTGAATTGTGATCGTGTGACTTTGAGGACACTGTAACAGGACCTGTTGTAAGTATCCCTGGTACAGTGTTGTCATTTTGAACAGCTACTGACCAAGTGGACATTAAAGGAAAACTACCTGTAATAGTTTTAATGGACTAATTGGTGAAAGGAGTGTCCATTATTCACAGACATCTGCTAAATAGAGAATATATCACTCTGGCTCTTTGGGTCATTTGGTAAGTTTAAAGCAACAGACTTCACCTGAAACAGATATGTATTTTTTGCCAATTAAAGTCATTGAAGCAGGCTTCAATTGGCATAGCATATTGGTCCATTTCATGGGAAGATAATTGCAAGTCCAGTAATTTGAGATTTAACTGTACAGGTAGTCCTTGACTTACAACAATTTAGTCGCCAGTTACAGTGATTTATGACCAGTTTTCACACCTATGACCACTGCAGCATCCCTGTGGTGATGTGATCAGAATTTGGGCACCTGGCAACTGACATATTTTTATGACAGTTGTACTGTCTCGAGGTCATGTAATCACTATCTAACCTTCCTAGATGGCTTCCGACAAGCAGTCAATAGGGTAGCCAGATTCACTTAACAACCACATGAGTCACTTAACAACTGTGGTGATTTGCTTAAAAATAGTGGCAAAAAGGTCATAAAATGAGATCACTCACTTAACAGCCTTGTAGCAACAAATTTTGGGCTCAGTTGTCATAAGTTGAGGACTACCTGTATGGATACAAAAGTAGCTATATCAAGTCAGAGTTCAGAGACAAACATAAACATTATGGAAGGACTTGAAATAAGCAGATCATACTTGAAAACCTCAAATGTTCTGGAATTGAAGCAGATGAATGAGTCAAGTTTCTTACCCCAATTGCAGGAATATTTGTTTGCAACTTATTGTAGTCAAAGTGATTATTTTTTCACACTATATCATATTTCAGTGTGAATTATCATCAAAATCCACTATTTGAATCTTTTATTTGTTTACTCATACTGCCCTTATGTCAGTAGAATCCACATGAAAGCTGTATCGGTGTTAACCTCCAAAAAAGCATTGTTAAATTGATACAGTGATATATAAGTTAAATGTAGAATTTTTTTTATAATAGATAGAATAGTAACCTATATAACTAGAAACTATGTCAATATGAGTGAATACCGATACTGGAATGCTGTAATGAGTGGGAAAGTGGTGTTTATGTTGGAAATATGACTAATAAAAATTTATTTAAAAAAATAAATCAATACAGTGTGAAATACTGTAGTATCACATCATTTCTTGTTACCACACATTAGTCTGAGTTCATTATGATTTTTTTTCACTGTACTGTATGTTTGTCTTCTTTGAAGAGAAGAATCATGGTTTGCTAGGGTTTCTAGATGAGTTTTTCTAGATTGCATAGAAAACCTGAATGTCTTTATAAGGCTAGCTAAAAAGACATCATTTTTTCCTGCAGTATGACTGCAAATTCCTTTGTAGGAAAATCAAGCCACCATAGTCAAGTTTCTGCCTATGAAAAATCCTTTCCAATTAAGTCCGTTGCTAATCCATCATGCCGGCGGAGCTTACTAAGTCCCAAGAAGTCTCAAAGAAGATTCATCAGCACTGCAGAAGAGGTAGGTGAAAAAGGAAAACAGAAATAAATTGAAGCTGCTTTGGTGGAGGAAGACAGAGTTAAATTTTGTTGGACTGAGAAGTTTATATATTTTCCCGATCTATCTTGTATTATAATATAGATTTTTCTCCAAGGTAATGTTGAAATATCTCACACTGATTGACTCGGTTATCTTAATTTTACAGAAGAGCAGCATTGACATAAATGTCTGGTTGCTTTTAGTTCAACTCCTGGATTTTAGGCTGAGAGAGGAAGTAGCACCTAAAAGAATGGAACAATAAAAAGTAAATAAACTTAGGGGAGTATTTTGGTGAGAAAATCTTAAACAAAGAAAAAGATGAATAAGAAGAAGACATTGTTAATAGATGCCTGTAAATAAAGGCTGAAGATGTGTGAAATATAAGTATTAATAGAATAACTATAAGCAAAAATTTTATTTTCTGTGGAATGCAATACGCTAAATGAATTTCTGTTGAATCGTTCTTATTTATGCACATGGCCATTATTTATCTGTACTCTCACATTGAGATTATTTTTGTCCATGGTGATGAGGCTTATGGATGCTTTTCTTAGGATCTTAATTTATTCTGTATATTATATAAACTTTGTCAATGACAAATTAGTTTAAATCACCTTTGCATCCTATAAAATATTATATTTCTGTGTAGACACTCTATTGTACTTTCTGGTAATGTATGGGATTTTTTTCTCCCCAGACAGTTCGGGAAGAAGAGAAAGAAATATACAGGCAGCTGATTCAAATGGTTACAGGGAAAAATCTGTCAACCTTTTCATTACTGTCTCATAACCTGTGAGTCTCTGAAATATATTGAATAATCTGATTGTCTACAAGTTTGTTTCCAAAATTTCTAGCCTTTTGCTTTTGTTCTCAGGACCAAGTGTGGAGGTTCCAATAAAAAAGCTATGAAAGAAACTGAAAACAAATGTATGAAACCTTTTGATGTGTGTGGCCCCTCTCTGGGCAATCCATCATCAAGTCTTCTTAGGATACAAGAGCACCATTTTCACAAACCACTGCCGCAACCAGTTTGTAATTTTACTTCCCATGTTAACTTTGATCCCAAGACCAGTACACCCATACAACAAACAAATCTACCAGCATTGGATGTGCAGACTGAAGGTAAAAGCAATTGATATACTTTGAAATACTGTGGGTTTTATTTCCTGACCCCAAACTCTCGACTTACTGTTTTCTCCAGGCCACCTGCACTGTTAATTCTCAGATGCAAGATTGTTACTTTTTCCAGCCTGGTACATAAATTAACTGAATAAATCTGAATTCAGTCATTGTATTGATTCTGTTTTGGAGAAAATTATTGGTACAGAGTAATGTTAAATCTCGCACTTTGTTTTGTTTGATCTAGGATGTGATTCAATGCTAAATGGCAAAGACTTCAGATCTCCAGCTCCAAGGCAAGTGGACTTTCTGACTTGTAGAAACTACAATTTATTGTTTTGAGGGGAATAGAATAAAAAAAAAGGTGAAGTAAATTTGTTGAGTTTAGACTGCCAGAATAATGAGAGCAAATTCATTAACGCTCTATTAATTTCAGAGTGACTTTAGCATTATTTATGATGTTGGGATTGTCCATTTGGCCTTAGTTTACTTTGAATGAAACATCAGTAATTCGTGCAAATTTTGTGGTTTTATGTAATACTCAAATTTTAGAAGTATTTTTGTGTCTCTCCCTCACCGACTGTGAATGTTAAAAAGTGTCTCAGATTTTTCTCCAGATTTTCACTGCTTTTCAACTCTGCTGCTGTTTCAGAGTGTAGTCCATTTGTAGTATCATTTACTGAAGCATTCTGTTTCCCATGGCTTTTAACTATGCAATATCATTTAAGCAGAAAGTATGACCTTTTCCCAATCATGGGCTCCAATAATGTTCTGAAATTGCTAGTAAATTTTTGGTAGAAAATTTTATCTGCTTGCCAAGTGCACAATTGGACTGAATGTATTGCTCTTGATATTTTCTTCTGTCTTTGCACTACAATTGAACTTAGCTTTAATACTTCTTGTTTCCTTTTTCCTGGAAGAAGCATTAATCCTTTCTACTTTCTGCTTTCCTTTTAGTACACCTTTCTTTGAGGCTGAATTGTGGATAAAAGAATTGTAAGTACATTCCATTTCTAAACCCTATTATACAGTGGTGGTATTCAAATAAAGTTGCTACCGGTTTGGTGGGCGTGGCTTGGTGGGCGCGCTTTGCACACGTGCACACACTTTGTGTGCACATGCGTGCCAAACGTGCACTTTGCGCAGACGCAGAAGCATTCTAACTCCCCTCCTGCAAGCCTGCACGATGCTGGTCGCTGCAGCAGCTGCCACGCGGCTCTATTCTGTGCCGCGCAAAGCAGCTGTGCTTCGAATTCTGGCCATAAAAGGGAGTATGGGAGGCCGGGTGGGTGAGTGGGCCAAACACAGAGCAGCGGAGAGAACCGGTTCGGTCTCCGCTGCTCATCGCCACTACCGGCTCTCCAGAACTGGGCAGAACCGGTCGAATGCCACCACTGCTATTATAGTTGTCCTTCATAAACTCATATAATCAGCTATTTAGCTCTTGTATCTCTAGTTTAGCCTTTCTTAAAGCTGAATTTATCTTCTTGATTTGACTAGCCAAAAAAAAAATGCTTTTGGTTTTCTTTTCCATTACTGTAAAAATGCTAGGTGTCTGAATTCCTATTGCTAATGAGGAAAGAAAACTATATGTTAGGTTCACATATCTTTGTTGTATAGTACATAGGATCACATATCTGAGAGCAAAGGATATGGGACTTTAACTTCTCAACATGTGGTCTCAAGACTGAAAATATTTAATAGAAATCACTGAAAAATCTGTGTGGGAGATGGGCAGTGAAGTGTGATAAATAAATAAATTGCCTGTGAAATCACTTTTCTTTGAAGAGCTTTCAGGTGTAAATACAAATCTTTTCTGTTTTAAAACAGAAAAGTGAGCATTCAAATCCCAGTACCAAATCTTAGTCTGCACTATTAGATCCTTTCTTATATATCTTTTCAGTTAAATTTGGGCAGTATTTAGAAGATTGTTGTCACAATTCACCCTTCTGACTTTCTGAAGAACTGGAGTGTTGCTGTGACATTACTAGAACAAGTGCATTCATTTTTTTCTTCTCCTGTTTACTTTTTAGGGGGCTAGCAGGATACCTTAAAATTGCCCCCACATGGCCTGAATCTATTTGCTACAGAATGCTACCAGTTTGATCTAGGAATTACCAGTGAAATGCAAAGGAAATCCCAGTGTGCACTATGCAAGTTACCTATCTTGAATTAAAGATGTGTGTGGGTATCTAATAGGACTAGCAAATAGCTTGGCAGACATGACACACTCACCCAGCATTCCCCATCCTACATCTCAAAGCAGCTTTCCCATAATGAAGAAACAGAAGCTGAAAGAAATAATAAGACAGGCATAACTAAAAGTGTGCAAAAATGAGTTTTCATGGCTGGTAATTCTGAATATTTAGTTTATTGTGTACAAATTTCTATCTAGAACCAGTTTATATGACTCCCGAACCCGTGAGAGATTGCGACAAATAGAGGAGCAGAAAGCCTTGGCATTGCAGTTTCAGAATCAGGTGAGAAAAGTCAACATGGTTATTGTTTTTAAAAGCTCATCATTGAAATTACCGGTATATCAGAGCTGAGAAAGTTGTCTGATTTTCCAGGTGCCTTCTGTCTTTGCTATGAATGATAATCTTGATGCAACTGGATACATAGTTTCCCTTAATATTGCTATCTGAATACTTTGCTTTACCTTTAATGTATGCTAGTTGACCCATGTCCTTATTGGTCATCGTTTCATAGGTATTAACTTTCATAAATAGAATAAGAGAATGACCATAGGTAACCAAAAAAGAAGTGGAAGTGATGCCTGACTTCCTGCTGGCTTCCCCGTTGACTTTGCTTGTGGGGAGCTGGCAGGGAGTGTCAATCAAAATTGCATCACCATGGCGGCACTGCAGAGCAGTACATCAATCTTGCTGCAGTGGCCACAAGTTTCCCAATACAGCTGGTCTGAACATCCTTGAAATTTCAATCCCACAGAAGTAATGGGTCCTAGATATTGGATGCATTCTTTAAATTGACCTGTTTAAGGTATCTTGATTAAAACATTGTTGCCGTATAGTGCACCATTTCACCTAGCTGAAGGTTATAGATGAAGAGGTTTATAGATTAAATTGGAAATTGAGAAGTTAAGATATCAGCAAGCTTGACCATATTTATGAATAGTCATTAGATTTCCTGTTGTTGATATGGGCTTTAACTTCAAATAACTGTAATTCCAGATAGGTTTGATGACTGCATCCTTCTGTACATCAACTAATGTAAGAAATCCAGACAATAGAGGTGGGCAATTTGATAGCAATTCCTGTCCACAGACATCTGAGATTGACCACTTGATGTGATGCTACTAAGTGTCACTATTTTAATGATTTTTTTAGAGACTGAGACTGCAGAAAGATATCTCAGTACCCGAGTCAATAAACTTACATCTTCGAGTTCCTCTTGAAAAGGAAATTCCTGTCATTGTTCCAGAAGATAATAAGACAGTGGATAGCGAAGATGAATTTCCTGGAATTACAGAGGTTAGTTTTCAGATTAATGGTAAAAATCATGATGCCTTGGTGAAATAAGTACCTGGACAGTAGTTTATAGAAATGAACATTTGTTGTGGTAAAGTTGTTTTTAAGCTGTGTCTCTTCATAATGCATCTCTGTGATAACATGCTCTGTCCTGTTTTGAAATTCTCTATTTCATCAAAAGCTAGATTTTTGGGGGATGGTATTTTAGCCTAATTGGATATTGCTGGTAGTTTTGTTTGCTATGTTATCTGCTTTTCTCGGGGGGGGGGGGACCCTTTAATTTCAAACTCTTTATTTGCAACATTAAAATATATGAGGTAATCAAAACATTTCCAGACTTTTCCCAAAAAATATTTGTAGAACATAATTATGTTAAATCTTTTTCAATATATAATAATCTTCCTGATCCATAGCCTTCCCCTCCCAAATTTTGCGTATGTCTAATATGTATTTCTTCTCTTTGTGTTCTCACTCTGCATTTTGGCACTATCCTTCATAATGAAGTTTTTCATTAGGAGTCTAATTTTCAACTTGGATTAAAAACATCAGTGAAACCCAGTTCTCTTTCCTGTTAACCATTTATAGGAAATGGAGAAAGAAATAAAAAATGTGTTACGAAGTGGAAACCAGGATGAAGTGTTGAGTGAAGCCTTCCGATTAACCATCACTCGGAAAGACATCCAGACCCTTAAGCACCTCAACTGGCTCAATGATGAGGTAAATATTCAGTCTCTGTTTCAAACATAATTTTTAAACTCATGAATTGTCAGTTGTAAAGGCTCTTTGAGTCCATCCTCTACAGGTATCCCGAAGGGTGGCTGTCTAGCCATCATTCAAATACACTCACCACTGCTCTAGATAATTGGCTATACTGTTTAACTGCTCTCTCTATTCTTACTGTTTGGAATTTTTCCCTTAACATTCAGTTGAAATTTGCTTTTAAAAAATAACTTACATCCATTTCTCTCTATTGTGTAGTCTAGTGAGATTTGTACAGTTAATCCTTAAGTCATGCTCATTTATTCAGTGACCATTTGAAATTACAGAGGCACTGAATTAATGGCACTTGCCCAGTCTGCAAAGTTATGACAGTTGCAGTGCCCCCCTCAGTACATGACGAAATATGGGTGCTTGGCAGCCCTCTCATATTTAAGACTGCAGAGCTGCTTCAACTTTCCCCATCCCTTGGCTCTCCCCTCCATCTCTGCCCTTTGGCCCCCTGCACTCCGCAGCTGCTGCCCTCCTGTGTTCCATCATCCCCAGATGACTGTTGTCATCTTCTTGCTCCCACTGCTAATCAAGCAATTCTGGCCTGACCCTTTGAGAGTCCTTCTTGAAATCATGCATATTTTCTTCATGAGACCTTAGGAAGAAGGGCTTGCATGGCAGCAACTGTCTAGCGAAGGGCCAGACTGGGTACACCCCATCAGCAGTAAGGTATTTCCTAAAAAGAGAAACACAATGACCAAAGGCAGGCCACACAAAAAAAGCCATTGGAGAAGAAGCAGTTTCTGATTTCCTTCTGGCTTCCCCATTGAATTTCTTTATTAATATGGCAGGGATCATTGGAATCTTCCTTCTTTCCTTTCTTCCCCTTCCCTGCAGGAAAGTAAGTGGCTGCTGCTGGATGGGGGAGAGGGTGAGGGATTGTGAGACTGGCTGGGAAACTCATGACAGGTGAAAATGAAAATCACATGATACAGCAACAGCACAGCAGCAGTAGGTAGCACTGAAGCACCTACAACTTCCCCAAATTTAATTACTTTAGGAGTCATGGGTCCTGGACTTTGGATGCATTCTGTAAATTAGCCCATTAAGGGCACTTGGTTCAAAAATTGTTGCCTTATGATGCAGCGCTTCACCCAGGTTATGACATAAGAGTTTTAGTGGTATACACCTGTAGGTAGATGCTTTTTAGGAATAGAGAAGAGCTGTTTTGAAAAAAAAATACCAAATACTAACATGTATTTCTTTCACACACAGATTATTAATTTTTACATGAATATGTTGATGGAGAGGAGTAAACAGAAAGGCTTTCCAACCGTTCATGCATTTAACACGTTTTTCTTCACCAAGTTAAAAACTGCTGGATATCCAGCTGTAAAACGTTGGACTAAAAAAGTAGATATATTTTCTGTGGACATTCTATTGGTTCCTATTCACCTTGGTGTCCATTGGTGTCTAGCAGTGAGTATATTATGCATATACGTGTAAGTGTTCAAGTGAATTTACACCAGTTCTTTCAAATGTTCCTTTTCTGTTCTGAATGCATTCTAAATTCATTCTTTTATGGTGGCTTTTCATTTTTGCATTTTTACTTTGCCAACTGCTTGCTTTTTAAATGCTTTTCCTGCACTATCCCAAATGTGTCAAAAGTATATATTTCTGGGTAAGATTGTGCCAATGTCTTGATACAAAATTTTTGTCTTGTTTAGGTTACTGACTTCAGGAAAAAAACCATCACTTACTACGATTCAATGGGTGGATCCAACAGTGAAGCTTGTAAGATACTCTTGTGAGTATCTCTTTTACATTAAACATGTTCACGTTTTCCTCATGATCTTAGAAAAGTGGTTGTTGCTGTTATAACAGAGAGAGAGAGATGAGAGAGAGAGAGAGAGAGATGAGAGATCCTGGTGTTCTGTTTTCTGTGGGAAGCGGGTCCAAATGGATCTTTGAGTGTTTCCTGTTGCAGAAACGGGCAGATAAGCTAAGTGCCTGAAGGACCCCATCCTGTCACTGGGAGTTCAGGCGCTTCAGAGAGAGGTATGCTGAATTCATATTAGTGGTCTGCGGGATTTAGTGGTCCTGAGGTCCGAAAGGTTGGTGACCCCTGTCCTAGTCCAACCCTCTACTTGAGCAGGGTACTCTATACCATTCCAGATAAATGGTTGTCCAGTCTCTTTTTCAAAGCCTCTGATGATGGAGCCAAATGGAAGCCAAATTTTGTTTTGCCTTCAGAAGTTCAAAATACTGTTTCAGTGAAGCATTTCAAGATCTTCTGTGTCGGAATAAGTTCAGTTAGAATTTATTCCCCTAGGTGTAATTCATCCTTCTTTGATGTTAGACCATTCTACTTAATTTAATACATTACGTGGCCATTAAAAAACAACAACACCTAGCTAAATATGGGTATTGTGGGTATTGATATTATTAAACATTTTAACATTAACATAGCATTACATAAATGGTCAAAGGCTCCAAAAATCTATCATTGTAAATTATAAAAATCTAGCATTGTAAATTAGAGAAACATTGACATTTTTATGGGCTCATTTTATCAATATTTATCTCCACAGAAATTGTGTCTTTCTGTGAAAGGGGGGCAGGGATTTATATTGTTGATAAATTAGCATGTTACAACACATTTCAAGCAGGCATTTTAGATGAAACAAAATGGGATGTTTGCTTGTAAGCAGATGCATATATTTCTGGTATGTTTTCAGAGTCTTGCTTCGCTAACAGCACTGTCTAAAATACTGTCCATCATTTACAGAACAATGACATTATACAATGACCAGAAGTCCTTTACTCCCATAACACACCCATCCAGAGACCTTCGTAACTCCAAGGGGCATAAAAGAACCAGCTGCTGGTTGAGAATTATCTGTACTTATCTAGCAACACAGTACAGGTAGTCCTCAACATGTGATCACAATTGAGCCCAAAATTTCCATCACTGAACTATGTGATGGAATTGTTAATTGAGTTTTGTATTCATTTGATGACCTTTTGCCATGGTGGTTAAACAAATCATTGCAGTTGTTAAGTGAATTGTGGCTGTTAAATGAATCTGACTACCCCAATGACTGGGAAGGTTATGAATGGTGATCACATGACCTTGGGATAGTGCGATTCATAAATACATGCCAAGTGCCTGAACTTTGATCATGTGGCCATAGGGATAATGCAGTGGTCATAAGTGTGAAAAATGGTAATTCACTTTTTACAATGCCATTGTAACTTTGAACAATCACTAAACAAATGGTTGTAAGTCGAAGGCTACCTATAACTTTAAGTTAATGCTCATCTATGGGTTATCCTTCATCTGCAGGAACACATGTAATCATTAATGTGTGTCAGTGAAAGCCACAGTATCCCTGATATTCAAAGCAACCTGATATAACATTTCCAGAAATGAATTCCTTGCCACCATATTCAAGCAACTTGTAGTTTGGGCATTATGGTAATGTGTTTTCTGTGAGGCGCTTACTGAGGGGAGATTGCAGCTTGCAGCTAGTACAGAACACAAGGCTTCTCATAAAACCTTGTTAAAGGCTATTAAGACATCTCCCAGGTGGTGGTGATTGATAAGTTTATGAGTTGCAAGTTGTTTGAGGAACTGCTTATTTTCTTGCATATTTATGTGATCATGATATTCTGCTGATGGTGCTCTATTCAGTATATTATCTGATGTTATCTGGCTATGAAGCCCAGCCCACAGTCTCTTGTGAAAGCAAATAAGCAACCTTCTGATGGAAATTAAGCCAGCTTTCACTGGAAGCTTTTCATAAAAAATTAGAACTTACTTGTTTGCTCTTGTCTTCTCTTGGTTTTGTTTGACATTGACATTTTTAAATCAGTGATCTTGATTACATAGTCTGTGAATGCTACCCTAATGATTTTACCATTTCTACAATCATTATACTTAAAAACACAAGAGTATACATAAGAGTATACATAAGAAAATGTATACATAAGAGTATACATAAGAAAATGCTGCAGGATACTGTAAAATAAACTTAGTTAAGAAACTAAAGAAACATAGCAATTACCATAAGTTTGCAGATTACATAAATCAAAATGACATAAAAGCTTTGCTAGGGTTAGTACCACCGGGAATTTGCCTTGCTGGAATTTAACCAAATATTTTTCAACTTTCTTAGTATACTGAATGTAATGGGAGTTAATGACTACACTTGTATTCCGGTGCATTCTTAGAAATCTACTTATTTGCATTTAATATTCAGGGGAAAATGTTTTCTCAACCTTGGCTAGATCTACAATATAGAAAATTTGGAGACCATCCACCTTTAAAGCATTTATACTCTTCCAGCTATACGAAGGAGCTTAAAAAGGCAAGCATAAACATACATATGTCCTACCAGCTTCAAAATGCAGGCACATATTTTTAGAGGTGACCAGGATGGACTGGAGATGGGACTTCTTGTTCCAGTAGTTAGTAGCAAATTCTGCTACAGTTGCTGCACCTGTGGAACCAATATGGTATATCAGCATTGTGTCAGAGCAGGCAGTGGGATCTGCAAGCTACTATGGTCTATTGTTATTACCAAAATTAAAGCCCAGAAACTACTCATGAAGCTTAGTGAAATTTTCATTGTGGTTGGTGATTAAAAAAATACTCCGTAGGGAATTATTTGAAAAAAGAAAAGACTTCAAAATTGGTGATTCTTCCTCTCTCTTACACCAAAGGATTGCTTTGTCAGTAGTTCAGTACGTAGTTCTCATTTTCCTAGAAAAATACATATTTCACTTAGGAGATAATTGAGCATCTCTCATTTGAGAGCTAATTGTAAAGCACTGTTAGTCAATTTTGGCAACTTCTGAATGTGTGGGCTTCATCTTACAGACTTCCCAGCAGTGCCAATGAGTTTATGGTGTGCACTTTTCCAGTTGGAAAGGTGGCAGTAGTTGATTTGTGAATTATTTTAGAATGGTGGCTTTGTATAAAGGAAATAATATAAACATTGAGGAGTTTTCCTATGTTTACACCATATTTATCACAGTAAACTCACTTAATAGATGAAATCACCAATATAAATATTGCCAGGGCAAATTACATTGCTAGTTCTTGTCTGGAATTAGAAGCAGGCAATAGTAAAAAGTTACGGTTAAGTGAAAGATAATTGGCTCGATGTATTTAGAAATATATTTCAGATTAAGCTTTTTGTTTGTTAAATAATTTGATGGTTGGCCTGAGACTGTTGTGGTTACAGCTTTTCTGCTAGTTTAATCTTACTAGTAGTTAGAATGGGAATCCTTCAGTTTTGTCTAGATGACTAGTGGACATCTAGAATAATGCAAGGGGAACTCAGCTTTTATTTTAGCTGACCGTTACCCTTTCCATAACTGTTTTTCCCTTTCTATTTCCTTTCAGGAGGCTTTAATTGGTTGAATGCAGTGGGAGGATCACACCGGGAGGAGGGGACAGAGGTCCTATTCATGGTTAGTGACCCTTTCATGCTTTCAATCTTTAGAGCTTCCTGGTTTTGGTGAGTTTTGAATGATTTGTCTGCCCCTTTTTAGAAAGGGAAGAGATTTATGGTGTTATAGATCTGTGGTTTAATTCTATAAGTTGTATATCCTGTTTGAAAAACCAAGTTATGGCAACACATTAATCCAATTCAGCATAAGTGTCATACTACAAGTAAAGGTTTTGGAAAGCCGGGATAGCTTACCTTTCTTCTTCCACTTAAGGTTCTACAAAGTTGAGAAATAGCTGATGAACTGAGGAAAGGATTATGATTTTTTTCGCTGATTCATATATTTTCACCCTTGCTTAGTTGTGGCCACTTGGCTCTTAGATGGGCTGTCTTCTGAATATATTTTAGATTGTGAGAATCGAGGTGGCAATTCTCATGAAGGAAGTAATTTGCCTTAAAGTACCAATACATATTGGTTCAGAAGTAGTGAAAAATGAAGGCTTCATAGGATACTAATGTGTGTGAGAGAGTTTAAAATGTAAGGTTGAAGAAAATACCTGAAATGCTTTGGCACATGCACAATACTTTCTTGAACATCTGCATAGTGCTCATGTCCTTTGCATCCATGAGAACATGCCCTCTTTTTTGAAAGTGGTTCCAATGTAGGTTTTGATCATATTTCAGTGCAAATTAGATACTATATAGGCATTATCTTTTGGCAGAAGGCAGCATCCTGGTCCATCTTATTTGAATTTGGAAGCTAGGCAAAACTTACTTATTATTTGAATAGAAGATTACTAACAAATTTCTGTATTATATGTTATGATGGGTAAATGGGAAAAAAAACTCAGAAGAAGGCAGTGACAAACTTTTGCATTTTTGCTAAGAAGACTACATGATGTGTCTGTGAAGCCAGCAGTAGCTGAGCTCAGATTGAAGGAGTTCTTACACATACCATTATCTGTTTTTGTTTTTAAAAATCTAATAGAGTTATTAGCAACCAATTGGAGAACAAGGTGCTGGAATTTAATATCGGGTTAAAACCCAATAATATCAAGAACATTTATCTAAATCCATGCTTTCATTTTTCCCCCCTAAATTATTTTCTTGAATATAGTCACATAATTGAAAAAAGTGCCTTTCACTTTTATTACACCTGACTATTTAGAAATGTAAGAACTTGGAGTTTCACTTTTTATCTTTTTAAAATATTTCTGTCATCTAAACCTGCAGGAAGTAGTGATGTTAGTGAGCGCTGGCTATATTTTTTTCCAATTTTCTTTTCAGTATTTTTGGATGGAATTGGAGTACTTGAATGTTTTTTGCACCTTGCGTTTAAAAACTGACACAATAGCATGAGGTTGTTTTAAGATCTGCAAACATGAGTTTGAGGCCCTTAGATACTCCATCTCTGTTTAAGAGGTTAAGCTGTCACAATGACTAGGGTAACATATCTTTGGAAAAAGCAGGTCTTTCACCTAACATAAAAAACCATAATAAAATTGAATTTACCAAGCCAATAAGAGATACTTGGGGGGAAACATGTATTGTAGCATTACTTTCAACTTAATTCTTCATAGCTAACTGAGTAACCAGAATGTTGCCATATGCTGGGCAGTTAGACATATCTCTCAGTAAGGAATCATTAACATGTTAGGAGCTCATAGCAAGCTCTCTGGAAAGTTCAAATATGCTTTGTTTTCATATTTAGGATATATGTCTGCTATGCTGTGATATTATTAGTTGCAGTTTGATCCATATCTATGCCAGGCAGAGAATGAAACTGAACCTTATGAATCACTGCTTGAAGTAAAAAAAATGCAGTTACCTCAAACCAAGTGCAATAGATAATATTTGCAGCAAAGATAAAATACAACTTTTGTGAACAAGCCCAAGAGTATTAGAAATTTCCATACAAAAATAATTAAAACAAATAGTAAGTTGTTTATCATTTGCCAAGACAAGAAAATCCTGAGCATATGTGTATATAGTAGTGCAAGTATATTAGGACTCTGAATTGTTTGGCAATGACTCAAAACAATACATGTCAGACAGTGCTTGAGTAAGAACATTAAGATTTCTGCTGTTCATTAAAGCAAGCTTCAAAATGGGAATTGCGTCTTTAGGAATTGCATTAGCTTTGGAAATTAATGTTGTTTGATGGAGTGTGCTTATTTCTTTAAACAATGAAAGTATGGTGTGGGGACTATGTATTGAGTAATAGGTAATGCCAGCAGAAAGCATTTCTTCTGAGTCACAGAGTATACATGGTTTTAAAGTATATTTACTGGGTAAAAAAACAAGCAATAAAGCAGTTTTGAGTGTTTAGAAAAGGAATCTCACCTGATGCTTTTTCTGCATTTTCCTCATTAAATTTTTTAGTTTGTCTTGAAACCTTGGTACATGTACAGTTAACAGTTCTCTCTTGACTTGAGATTCAGAGCAGGGAGATATGCATGAAGTTATAGGACAAAGGCTAACTTTCCTAGTGTCACTCAATTGGCAAGGGCTTTTCTGTCTTGAGAATGGAAGAACAAGACAACACTACTAAGGGAAGCAAGAGGTCGAACGCTTTTCTTATTCACCCTTGATAAAGGGGATTTATTGACCATTAACAGCTTTGACCATTCTGATATAACTGAATATTTTTGCTAAATAGAATTCTTAAAATGCAACATTCATTAAAAGCCTTTCGTATGTTTTGTTGTGTGCTAAAATGTTTGTATTGTTTTTCAATCTGTGCAGGCAGTACTTAAAGCAGGAAAGCCTGGATAAAAAGCGCAAGGAATTTGATACCAATGGCTGGATGCTCCTGTGTAAAAGAAGCCAGGTATGTATAGCTGATTGTATAAGACTGTGAGTTGTTTATATTATTAATTATAGCTTGTATGTATTTCCCTGGTTTAAAAAGTCAGAGGTGGAAAACAGTTCCCTTTCACTCCTGACTGTAGCAGATGCAGATATTTAATAATACCTGCATCTGAAGAAAATAATAAAAATAATATTAACAGACAAAACTCCACAAGTCTGATTGGAAATACAATTTATTGTTACAGATTATAGTAAAAGAATCTTGAAGAGTTTTCTCTCTCCCCCTTTTAATACTCTAATAAATTAAGGAGTTAATCTGAGTTTCTTTCTCCTGCCTTTTCTGTTTCTTAGCCTTGAAGCATGCTTTGGTTTATGTTATTGCCTCTGCTTAGTTTCCCCAAGATGAGCTAGGAAATCTGACTGATCATGTCCCCAGTGTGGCAGCCATTTTATGAGAGCATCATTTCGTGTTCAAATTCCAAATTTGGAGCCAATTTGAAGGCTTCTGATCAACTGGAATCTGAATGCTTGTAGTAACTCTTTTTCAATACTTACCGCTGCAATATACAGCTATTACAACAATTCTTAATGTTCTATGTTCTCTGCTATTAAAGAAAAAATTGCATTTAATATTTCCATTTGCTTTCCAGCTGCACTTTACTTTTCATGGGGCTTCTTTTTTTCCATTTCGGGCCCTTGTTGCTCTCCCCTGTAACTGAAAAGGCCAGGCAAAAGTAGCAAGAAATTGAACAAAGAAGGGACATTGGAATGAAGAATATATAACGAATGGGAGTGGGACACAGCCATAGATATATCTTTAGTAGCTTGTACAGCCAACTGTAATTATTTGAACTGGAGCTCGGTTGTGATTGGAGCTAATTGTGGAACCTGTTGTAAAAGAGCTAAGGTGGTGCAATGGCTAAAGTGCAGTATTGTAGGCTAACTCTGCTCACAGCCAGGAGTTCGATCCTGACTGGCTCGAGATTGACTCAGCCTTCCATCCTTCTGAGGTCGGTAAAATGAGGAGTCATATTGTTGGGGGCAATATGCTGACTCTGTAAACTGCTGAGAGAGGGCTGTAAAGCAGGGGTCCCCAACCACCGGTCCGCAGACCGGTACCGGTCCGCGGAACAACTCCTACCGGGCCGCTGGCTTGCTGGGCGCCGCCATCTTTTTTTGATGAAAAAGTGCTTCCGGTGAGCTTTTCCGGGTAGAAAGCTCACCGGAAGCACTTTTTCATCAAAAAAAGATGGCGGCACCCAGCTGATGCCGGTACCGGGCCGCGGCGTCAAAAAGGTTGGGGATCACTGCTGTAAAGCACTGTAAAGGGAGGGCTGTAAAGCACTATATAAATCTGCTATTGTTATTGCTATCTATTTTGCCATATTTACCAAGTTGAACCTTTGCTTTTGGTGCCCTTGTCTCTGTCTGAATTGAAATAGTCCTTTAATAGTAGTACTTTAAATTATACTGTGCTCTTCCATTGAGAGCTTGAAACTTCACCTGTTGTGTGCATTTTATAACATAGTATTGGATAAAGCCAGTATGATGTTCTCATCAAGAAAATAAAGGGAGATGGTTTTTTTGTCTTTTAAAGGAGATCCCACAACAAATGAATGGCAGTGATTGTGGGATGTTTGCCTGTAAATACGCCGACTGCATTACCAAAGACAAACCAATCAACTTTACTCAGGTAAGTTGGTCCTGTATGGGCACCTCTTTGTTTTTATGAGGAGCATTGCTTGTGGGAATATGAGGCTATAGTTTGTAAATACACACCCAAAAACAATGATTTTTTTTTTAAAAAAAATGAAATAGTGCTGAATAAATTAATCTTGCTTTTGTGTTTAAGCAAGGGAGGAGGGGTAGAAATATGTCAGTACGCATTAAAAATGAATGCCCTGGTAATGTTACAAATATATTGATATTGCTGATTTCTTTTTGTTAAAGCAACTCATGCCTTACTTCCGGAAACGAATGGTCTGGGAGATCCTCCATCGTAAGCTGCTGTGATTTCATGCCGAGTAAGACTCTTCAGAGACTGAAAACCCCGGGTTTCCTCTTCTTGGCCACCTCCAAGTGGGCTACATGGGTTTCTCCACTGACAAGACTCTACATTACACTTTTGGTGTCTTTAAAAAAGAAAATACATCTATTTCTTGGACCAGTGTGCCCCCATGAAGCCTTTCTGAAGCACACACTTTCTTTTGTATTTTGAAACCCTATTTTTTACAAGGGACATTTGAAACTTGTAGGAATGTGGCTTTTTATCTTCAAGGAGATTTCTGCCTCTCTTTTTTTAAAAAAATGGCCAGCTTGTGCAAAGGACTTGAGACCGTTCAGCTGTAAGGCCTTGGTGCAGGGAAGCACTTGCAATCTTTTCTTGGATCTATCAGGATTTAGAGAAGACTTGATGTCATAGTACTAAGTAATTGTGGATTCTCCACATTACTGTTACTGCAGCTAATTATTTGATGTAAAACATGCAGGGATATGTGTCTTGGGGAATCTTTGGCCCAGGTTTTCCAGATGTGTGCATGTTTATGTGTTTCCTGCTTCTTATAATCTGCTGTTAATAACATGGGTGATTCCTACAGCAGTTGTAGCAACTTAGATTCCCTTTTATTCTTAAACTATTAAAGAGAAATGGAATTCTTTGGGAATGAAAGGTGAATAGACACACCAGCACATGAAAAGTAACCACTTGCTCTGTTTTCCACCGTGGCGGGTAATCTTTTTGATTCTACAGTAGGGCTGCCCAGGGGAAAATTAACAATCCTTTATTTTAACATTGTTTATCTTGTCACAATGAATGAGTCATCCCCTGATTATTGAAAGTTTATGAGGATTATGAGTTATCCTCTGGTATTCAGAACAAGCCATTTATCCTAAAGAACAGGCAAGGATTTGTGGGCAGAGGCATTCTGCACCAAAAATCCTTATTCTTCACTGCCCCTTCCCCAAGCCTGCTGTGGTGGGTTTTGACCTGAGAAAGAAAAATGAGACACCTTTGTGGCCTACATCACTGCATTCAGATGACTGGGATTATCCCCCCTTGAAAGCCAGCATTTTCTTTTCTTAACCACATTCTTGCAATGCAATCTGGAGCTCAGTTTTACAAAGAACTTTTTGAAGAGTTGGTGCATTACATTCTCAATGAAAATAGGATTTATAACAAACTAAGCAGCTGTAATGTCAGTGGATGTTCATTTGCCAGAGGATTAAATAGATGTTTGTCTTTCAACTCTTTGTAGAATTAAGGTACAATATAACTTGTTTTAAAACTTTAATTATTGGTAAACAGTTTTTATACTATATATATGCCTTTCCCAGTGACTGCCAATGAACAAATATATATATATATGAGGTTTGCAGGTTTTTTTCTCTGTTTTTAAAAAGCTGAATTGAAAAGTTGCTTTTTTGTTCATATGCTCCTCCCTCCTGTTTTGTTAACAGCAATTAATGATGAGTTGAAGAATGCCCTAAAGAGAGTCCCGTCCCCTCAATCCTATTTTTGCTTTGGTTTGCAACTTCTATCAGCCCCCTCCAATCCAGTTAATGGAAGTTGAGACAAATATGTTGTACATGGGCACTAGATAGGGCAAAACTGATACTGAATCTGTCCAGCTTTTATATGAAACCAGTAAGAGATCCTGCTGGCATAGGCTTTATCTCTCAAGAGGCAGATTTTTCACAGGGCCCATGACACCCTGTTTATCATTGACAGAATCAATTGTCTTTTGTCCAATATGAGGGAATACTGCCTTTTCAGTCCATACTGAAGATTCTTCAATCCACCACCAACAATTTCTGTACAGCCAATCTTGCATTTGTTTCAGTGGAATCCATATTTAAATGTTAGTTTTATATAGCAGCTGGATTGGTCTCTGTTTCTACCATCAGCCAACAGAAGTAGAATGCAGAAAGGATTCAGGCCCAAGAGCTTGGATTTAAGTTTGCATGTCACACATACCTCTTGATGTATCTTTTAAAAAAATCTAAAGTAAATGTCCTCTTGTGTTTCTGCCATCAAACAGGGAACATTTTATATATTCTATATGTGGAAACGATAGTTTTGTACAAATTTTCCATTACCCTTCCCAATTTGTGCGCTTCCTAGACAAGTTTGTACCTTTTTTTGATGTCTCTTTGTGTTTTTTATACCAGTCTCCGGTGCCCCTTTTTGTTTTTTCTGCATAATCTAATTTTATTTTATAATGTGTTATTCTTAAATAAACTCAGCCATTTAAAAATGTAAAGAATCAAAGTCTGTTCTTCTATTACCTGCAATGCAAATTAGTTGTATTCTTATTTCATAGGATATAGTATATTTCATAGAATATAGTTGTAGCCCTGCCATATATGTTTCACTGATTGGAAAGGAGTATCTTTTTGCAGAATTATACTAAGCTTTTATTCCACAGTATAAATAGAATTAAACTTACCCACAATAAAGCTTACAGCTACCTGTTAACATATTAATTAGGTATTCAGCTTTTACAAATGCGTTTTTCTCCCTAAAAGATGCTAGCATGTATTTACAATGGTTGTGTTGTCCCAAGTTCATGTAATTACCATTTGCAATCTTCCCAGCTGGCTTTTGACAAAGTCAGAGAGAGGAAAGTTAGATCTACTAAATCAGGGGTCGCCAACCTTTTCGACCTCAGGGATCACCCAACTCATAATTTTAAATCCTGCGGACCAGAGACCCTGGGAAAATCCCAAAAAAAGTGTGCAGAAAAATTCCCCACCCCTTTTTCCTACCGATCAGTCATTCTTTATTTGGGATGGCAGGGCTCCATTCTCAGGGAGGGAGGGAGAGAGAGAGAGAGACTTTTGGCTTCATGCAAGGAAAGCAGCAGAAGTCTTTCTTTCTCTCCCCCAAACTCTGCCAGAAATGAGTCTTTGTGAAACTTGTGCATCAGTGCAGCCTCTTGGAGCAGGATGCCTTGTAGAGTCCCAAAAACTCATTTCTGGCAGAGTTTGGGGGAGAGAAAGAAAGACTTCTGCTGCTTTCCTTGCATGCAGCCAAAAGCAGAAGAAGAAAGAAGCAGCCTGGTGGCCAGGCAAGCCACGTGGGGCAAGTCCCCCCCCCTTTCCCTCCTCCTCACTACCTTGTGTTGTTCGCAATGCAAACGATGCAAGCCATGTGGGTGGCACAGCCTTGTGTTCCTGCACAGCCTGGATTAATTGCTTTGGGGGTGACATTTCTCTGTGGACCATCAACATTTTCTCACGGACCACCAGTGGTCCCCGGCCCACTGGTTGGCGGCCACTGTACTAAATGACTGCATTATTCATCAAACAACTGGCAAAAAAAGAACATAAAATTGGGTGTGACTAAAATCACCTTGCTTAGCAACAAAAACTCTGTTCTCATTGTAACTCAAGGTCTTATACTCTTGAGACTAGGATGTGTAAGAGCCTTGCAGTGACTAGTTTCTTACCATGGTGAGGCAGGTTAAAACGACCATAAAGGAGCTAAGTAACAATCTTCTGCAAAGCTTGCTAAACGAAGCCTTGACTACCAACTATGCCTACAGTAAAAATAGAAAGTAGATATCTGCTGATTGAGAATGTATCCCACTACCCTTTATGTTGTCAATTAGATTTATCTCTCGGCTCTATTCAGGTGAAGAAAAAAACACAATTCATCCCATTTTGGTGATGCTGTGTCACAGAAGGCCTTTTTGTACACAAAATGTACATCTAAAACTTTTGAAATTATTTTTATTTTACATTTAAGTGTGGTACATAGAATTAGTTTAATTTGTTACAATATAACCAAACTTCCTAATATTTTAGTCATAAATCATAGCACAGAATCATACAATGCTCTGGTTATTTTTAAATTAATGTCTGATCATAGACTGCTATGGGTATTAGGAGTGTAAATTGGCACCACCTTGTACAGACTCAATAAAGCTATACTGAGCTGTTCATTTAAATAATTTTTCCCATCAGCCTTTCCCTTTTTTCCTTATCAGTTTCTTCATTAAGACTGTTTGACTACATTGTTAAATACAGATTGACACAGAAAAATTACACTAGTCCTTATCTTCCATTTCTGATTTAAAAATTGTGTATCCTAAAGGTGCTTTTTTCTAGGGGCAACTGAACTTTCTAGTTTTTTCTTTGAAGACATTTCACTTCTCATCCCAGAAGCTTCTTCAGCTCTGACTGAATGATTGGATATGAAAGGATTTATATTCCTTGCAGACAGCTGAAGAAGCTTCTTGGATGAGAAGTAAAACATCTTCAAAGAAAAAACAAAGTCCATTTGCCTGTGGAAAAAAATCCCTTTGGGACAATCATGACCTGGATTCGAGAATCTCCATAGACCTGTAGATTGTGTAGCATCCATTTACAAAATTCAAACATTCGGCAAAAAGTTTTTATAATAGTGAACATAACTAAGCAACATTATGCGCTAGACCAGTGTGTCATAACCTTGACAACTTTAAAACATGTGAACTTCAACTCCCAGAATTCTCTAGCCAGCATATATGAATTCTAGCCAGGATGCTGGCTTTGGAATTCTGGAAATTAAAGTCTTCACATCTTAAAATGGCCGAGGTTGAGAAATATTGCACTAGACCCTAGATTAGTCTTACTGTTAGAATTTGGGAAATTCTGAATAAAAAATTGCTGCAAAAAATGTAATGACTCTAAGATTTGCCTAGGAATAGCACTCAGACTCGTACACCACTTCATAATGCTTCTCTAAGCTGTTTACAGAGTCAGCCTATTGCCCCAGCAATCTGGGTCCTCATTTTACCAACCTCGGAAGGATGGAAGGCTGAGTCAATCTTTTTTCTAAAAAAATAAAATTTTATTTCAGTTTTCCACATTTTAAAAACATCTTTTTTTTTTAGTGAACAGCATGATTCCAGGTTTTCACATTTCCATACAAACATGACTATAATTACATAATCTTTCACATTTAATTCCATATCTTGACATTACTTTACATATTTTCTATTATTTTTAAAAGGCCGAGTCAATCTTGAGCCACTCAGGATTGAACTAGTGGAGTGAGCAATGCCTGCAGTACTGCATTCTAACCACTGTGCCACCACAGTTCTAAATTACATTAAAAGGTACTGTAGTAGATGTGGGACTATTGCTTTAAAAAAAAATATTAATGTGATACCTTATCCCACATTCAACAAAGTTGAATCCATTAAATGTTTCTGAAAAGAGGAAGAAGCCTGATTTCTGTTGAAAGTCAGTAATAGAATCATATAAGCATCTTATAGTTCTAACCTGAAACTTGTGTTTAAATAAAACTATTAAAGGGATATATCTGTTGTTGTAGATAGGGGGCAGTAGCCCCTCATATTCAGAGAAAAATGGGGGGGGGGTTGTTGTCATTTACACTGTTTCACAAAATCCAGAATGGAGAAAGACACTTTCTCGATTCTAGATTTTGTGAAACAGCTGGCAGCAAAGTGTAGTTATTAAAAAGCAGGTAAAGAATTGGAGCCAATTTGATATTTACTGATTGCAGCAAAAGACTCTACCCTCATCTTTTCTACACTCAATTTGTGTAGTGCAATTTCTTTTTTTATCCCATTCGTGACTCGCTCTGCCCTCCAAAATGCTCAGGTAATTGACTTCTCTACGAAACAAGAGATGGTTGCTGATTTCATGGCTAGAGTAGACAAATATTTTATACAGCTGGCACAAAGCCTGTGATATAAAACTCAGGATACTTGCAAAAAATTGTTAGCTGATGGATATTTGAACATAATTCACTAAATCTGCCATGTTGAGTGACAAGATGTAGCAGACTTTGGATGATCTTAGAAAGCTAAGCAGGAAAGACCCTGGTTAGTGTTTGGGTGGAAGACCACTAGGAAATTCGAGAATAGTAAACTCATGTATTGCTCTACTCAATATGATACTTAATCTTCACAAAAATATTAAACATGAGCCCTTGTCTCCCACAGTAGTCTAAACTAGTCTGTCAGCGTTCCAGCAAACCTCCATTCCCATCAGTAACTCTGAGACAAACATATCTCAAAAGTACCTTTATTAGAATAGCACCTGTCACATCTGTGGAATCCCGAATTTAAAAGTTTTCGGGCTTCCCACAATGTCCCAAACTACAAATCCATTCCTCTTTGGCCATCATCACATCACATGGTCCAATCACCATCCGTCCAAAAGTAAGATCCTTATTTCATCCTGTGCCATACTCAATGACCTTGAACTAACAAAATAATTTTATTTTGTCTGCTTAGAACTACTCAATTGAAATCACACACCCCTCCCACTTTCTCAGGCTATGTGGCAGCGTGGAATAAGGTTTCCAAAGCTGACGTAGTCATTGATACAAAGGTAGGCTATTGTGGGAGACCAGGGCTCACGTTTAATGACTACTAAACTAATGCATTAATCTCATTATTCCTTTAAAGTTTATCTCTGTGCCTTTTGAGGCTTACAGGTAGTCCTAGACCAGTGGTGGCTAACCTTTTTGGGCTCCTGTGCCCAAAATTGTGCGCACATTTGCACACTCACGCTTGCATGCCAGCACCCAGAAGGCAATGCATGCCCCCCCAGGCCCCCTACGCATGTGTGCGTAATCCCCACCCAGCCACCACTGCCATCCCATTACCTGCACTGTGCCTCACAGCTGATTTTCAGCTGGTTTGAGGCCTTTTTCAGTCTCCCAAAGACTTGAGGAAGGCTTCTGCACGCTTCGCAGGCCGAAAACTAGCCCCGTTTCGTCACTTCTGGTATTTTCGTAAAAACAGGAAGTGACAAAATGGGGCTAGTTTTCAGCCTGCAAAGCTTGCAGACGCCTTCCTCAAGCCTTTGGGAGACTGAAAAAGGCCTCAAACCGGCTGAAAATCAGCTGTGAGACACGCACGTGCACAGTGAGATAAGTTTGCCTGCAGCTTGTGTGCCGGCACAAATGGCTCTAGGTTCCATAAATGGTTCCATAGGTTCGCCATCACGGTCCTAGACTTA